ATGGACATAAGTCACTTTTTCCAGTGCCTTTGTAACTTCAAACGATCACTAAAATAATGGTTGTAAGTCGAGGACTATTTGTAATAATAGAAGGGCTTGTTAGCCATTGCTTTCCTCCATGTTTGTTTGTTTTTAATTTCAATTTCCCAATCTAATCTGCAGCCCTGTGATTTCCTGGTGGTCTCTTGTCCAAATATTATTCAGGCCCAGCTCTGCTGTGTCCGGACCAGATTTCTTCTCCATAAAAGGACTCTGCCTCTCTTTTTTTCCTCTCTCAGTTTCAGGAAATTCTTCTGGATTACATCCCTTCTCCTCAGCTGGAGCTGGTCTTGGTGATGCTGGTGGTTCCTTTTATAGTCAATGTGAGTTGAAGAGTTAGAAGGAAATGCTTCTTTCATCAAGGGAGCTGAAAAACCTTTTTCCCTCCTGTGGGGAGAGCGAAGGACACGGGATTTTCCATTTGTCATTCAATGGTCATGAGGGACGGAAAAACCTTTGCCTTGGAAAATATGACTTCTTTGCTTCTTTATAGATCATTTACATCAGTGTTTCTCAACCTTGACAATTTTAAGGCATGTGGACTTCAACTCCCAGAATTCCACAGCCAGCGTTGCTGGCTGTGGAATTCTGGGAGTTGAAGTCCACATGCCTTAAAATTGTCAAGGTTGAGAAACACTGATTTACATGCATACGGCCATTCAGTTCAGCAGCAGTTCTGCATAGCGTACGGCTTGAAAACAGGAAGGGACAAAAAACAGTCCTAGCAGCAAACACAACGGGGAAGACAATTATCCTAGCGCAGAAACAGACGTTATTTTAATTTAATTTTTTATTTGTTTCCTGTCTTTATTCGTTTTACAAATAATTGAAGTTGACCAACATATCCAACAGGGCTGTTTTCCCCACCACCACAACAACTACTGTATGTGAAGTGGGCTGGGCTGAGAGACAGGGACTGGCTCAAAGTCACCCAGCTGGCTTTCATGCTTAAGGCAGGTCTAGAATTCACCATCTCCTGGTGCTTGGTTCAAAGTCAACCAGACGGCTTTCATGCTTAAGGCGGGACTAGAATTCACCATCTCCTGATGATTGGCCCAAAGTCACCGAGCTGGCTTTCGTGGTTAAGGCGGGACTAGAATTCACCGTCTCCTGGTGATTGGCCCAAAGTCACCGAGCTGGCTTTCATGGTTAAGGCAGGACTAGAACTCACCGTCTCCTGGTGATTGGCCCAAAGTCACCGAGCTGGCTTTCATGGTTAAGGCAGGACTAGAACTCACCATCTCCTGGTGATTGGCCCAAAGTCACCGAACTGGCTTTCATGGTTAAGGCGGGACTAGAATTCACCGTCTCCTGGTGATTGACCCAAAGTCAACCCAGCCAGCTTTCATGGCTAAGGTAGGACTAGAACTCACCATCTCTGGGTGATTGGCCCAGACTCACCCAGCCGGCTTTCATTGTTAAGGTAAGACTAAAACTCGCCATCTCCTGGTGATTGGCTCAAAGTCACCCAGCCGCCTTTCATCGTTAAGGCAGGACTAGAATTCACCATCTCCTGGTGATTGGCTCAAAGGCACCCAGCCGTCTTTCATGGTTAAGGCAGGACTAGAACTCACTGTCTCCTGGTGATTTGCTCAAATTCACCCACAGCTTTTATGCCTAAATCCTGGTACTTTAACCATTGACCCAAACTGGTATGGGACAGGTGGGTGAAACAGGTTGTCAGAAATTGTCTAAAGCAGGGCTTCTCAATCCTGGGGACTTTAAGACATGTTTCAATTCCCAGAATTCCCCAGCCAGCATGTGTGGACTTCAGCTCCCAGAATTGTCCAGTCGGGCATGCTTGCAAGATTTTGAAAGCAATAGTGATGTTTCTGGAATTAAAGTTAATGACTCCCCTCCCCCACCCATCCAGCAGTATAGTATAAAATTATGTCTGGTGATTGGGCAGGAAATCGACAAATTTATTAGTCAAATAACAGGAAGCCAACACCCTGGTTCTGTCAAGACTCAAATTACATTAAAACAGAAACAGAAAATGGTGGTGGAACATTTGTTAATCAGATGTTAAATTAGTTAGAACAGGGGGTCTTCAAAGTTGGGCCTTTGATGACTTGTGGACTTCAACTCCCAGAATTCCTCAGCCAAGTCCACAAGTCATAAAAGGGCCAAGTTTGAAGACCCCTGCGTTAGAACAAAACAAACAAGCAAAATAAAGGTAAGCTGCCAGAAACCATAACAGCATAGGACAGGGGTAGGCAACCTTGGCTTTTTTATGACTAGTGGACTTCAACTCCCAGAATTCCTGAGCCAACCAAGCTGAGAGGAAAGGGAGAGGTTTCCATGCTGAGCCCTGCCGGCTCAGGAATTCTGGGAGTTGAAGTCCACAAGTCATGAAGCGGCCTAGGCCTAGACCAGGGGTAGGCAACCTTGGCTCTTTTATGACTCGTGGACTTCAACTCCCAGAGTTCCTGAGCCAGCCATGCTGAGGGGAAAGGGAGAGGTTTCCATGCTGAGCCATGCTGGCTCAGGAATTCTGGGAGTTGAGGTCCACGAGTCATAAAAGAGCCAAGGTTGCCTACCCCTGGCATAGGAAAACCAGGGAACGTAACATTACTATAGGCAGGTGGTAGCTGCTTTCAGGTTACATATAATGTAAAAGCTACACAAGGCCACTAACCATCAGAACGAAAGCAACGCCATTAAGAGAATCGGTGATCCCAGCTATTATAACTGTCTGTAAAATATAGAGATGCCTTTGGCCCCATTTATTTATATTTTTGTCTCTTTATACTTACAACCACAATGGAGTCCAACATGTCCTTTGCTAAGCAAGACAGTTGCTAAAGGATTGTTGCCCCATTTTACGGCCTTTCCTGCCACTGTTATTAAGTGAAGCACTGCAGTTGTTAAGCTAGTAACACATTTGTTAAGTGAATCTGGCTCCCCCCATTGATTTTGCTTGTCAGAAAATCCCAAAAGGGGATCACAACCGTCGTAAGTTCTTGCCAGTTGCCGAGCCTCTGAATTTTGATCACGTGACCCCCGTGCTGTAACGGTCGTAAGTGTGAAAAAGGGTCACAGGTCACTTTTTTTTTAGTGCCGTTGTAACTTAGAATAGCTACTAAACAAGCTGTTGTGAGTCAAGGACTCCCTGTAGTTTTATGTCTTGCTTCCTAAAGCATGGCTGGCTGAGGAATTCTGGGAATTGAAGTCCACCCATCTTAAAAATTGCTAAGGTTGAGAAGCACTGGTCCACACGTACACTACAAGCGCATTTTCTTTCCTTTTTTCCTTTTAAGGCGGTCATGTTCTGGGTTGTCGACAGCTTGACAATGAAGAAACACAAGAAGAAGGAAAAGCTGGAAGTCAGCGTGGCGGAATATCCTGAAGCCCTGAAAGACGACGATATCCAAGTAAGAGACGAATCCTGGACTGTTGCAGGAGAACATGGTTGGGTGCACTGCTGAGCTTGGTAGAGTGGTCTGTTCACAGCCGTTGCTTTTCCGTTGTCTATTTTAGGAAACAAACGAACTTGAGAACAGGCTGTTTGACTTGTCTGTGGGTGTGTTGGTGCCCGCGTGTGTGAATGTACACAAGCATTCCTTTCCCCCCTTCCCCCTGGAACTGGAGATAAACTAATCCCTGTTTTAAAACAAGCTGGAGGGGCTGCTGTCACACACACACCCCACTTATAAATATTTCCACACCAGGAAATGCAGTTTAAGCAATGGAGAACCTGACGCAGACCGTTATCCCCGTGCGCAAAATTTGCGTTCACGGAACAGAGGGAAAAAACCATTGCACGTTCACTAGGCTTGGCACAGAAAATGGCCAATAATAAGCAGGAAAGCCCAAAACTCAGCAAAAGTGGGATATCCTCTGAGCACCCTCTAAGTTCAATGGGGGGGGGGGATTTTTCCGGCTAATTTTTCCAGCCAGCCTTTGTTCTCTGTTGATGCACATGAGGGATTGTGTACACAGCATCTGGACCTCTCTGTTTGCACATGTGCTGTCTGTGCCAAAGGGCGATAGTTATCGGGGCTGTCTCTGCCTTCACACACGCACCCCGCCTTGCGAGTCTCCACATCCTTCAAAATGTTTATGGCGTTGCAGCTGACTCTCCCTCTGTGTGCAGTCTTTTTAGGGAAAAAGGATACCCTGTGCAGTGATAATACCATTTTATACTGCACTGTTGAGGCCAGACTTGGAATATTGAATGCTTTTCTGGTCACCACGATACAAAAAAGCTGCTGAGATCTGGAACGTCTACAGCACTGGTTCTCAACCTGTGGGTCGGGACCCCATTTGGGGCCGAACGACCATTTCACAGGGGTCGCCAAACAATGTAGTCCACCATTTTTTTCCCCCTTTTCTTAGCTGTGCTACTCCCTTTTATCCTATTGGCTTTTGAAAGCCAGTAGAATAGACTCTCTTGAATAGAGTCTAATTCTATTGGCTTTCAAAAGCCAATAGGAATTGTCCAGGCTGTCTCTGCCCTGCTGAGCCCGCCAAAAATCCCATTCTGCAAACGGTGCTGCACCAGTTGAGTAGTCCTCGACTTACGACCGGTTGAGTAGTCCTCGACTTACGACCGGTTGGGGGTCACGGCATTAAAAAAGTTGAGAACCACTGGTCTACAGAGAAGAGCAACAAAGATGATTAGGGGGTCTGGAGCTAAACTGTATGACAAATGGTTGAGAGTTCGAATCAGAATTGAGCTGGAAGGGACCTTGAAGGTCTTATAGTCCAACCCCCTGCTCAAGCAGGAGAACCTATACCGGGGGTCTTCAAACTTGGCAACTTTAAGACTTGTGGACTGAGGAATTCTGGGAGTTGAAGTCCACAAGTCTTAAAGTTGCCAAGTTTGAAGATCCCTGCCCTACACCATTTCAGACAAGTGGCTGTCCAGTCTCTTCTTAAAAACCCCCAATGATGAAACATCCAAAGTTTTTGAAAGCAAGCTGTTCCCCTGGTTAATTGTAGGAAGTTTCTCCTTAATTTCAGGTTGTTTCTCTCCTTGATTAGTTTCTGTCCGTCATTTCTTGTCAATGGATAGTTCTGTTTGGCAAACGATAAGAAAACATGGCCCATGAAATTGATTTTTGAATGCTTTTCCCCCCACAGGTCCTTCTTTGCCCCACTTTGGATTTTGACAGTTCCAGAAGCGACGTAGATCTCTTAGCGTCTTCTCCTCAAATCTGGAGCCCCATCTTAAAACTCTGAGATTATTGAGTGGCCCTTTCATAATTCCAAGCTGAACCAAAAATGTTGTTTTTTTTTTTTTTTTAAAAAAGGATCTTCATTTTAGAGATCACAGTGGAAATGAGAAATTGTAAAACACAACCTACTAAATCAGGGGTCTTCAAAGTTGGCCCTTTGATGACTGGTGGACTTCAGCTCCCAGAATTCCTCAGCCAGGCACGCGTGCCTGGCTGAGGAATTCTGGGAGTTGAAGTCCACCAGTCATCAAAGGGCCAAGTTTAAAGACTTGGCACTAAAATATCCTAAGATGGTTTGTACCGGTGGCCTGTTGCATTTGAAATGCCTTTTTTTTTCTTTTTTTGGAATATGTTGCTGGGTTATTTGAGGGCCATAAAATTGTGGGGTTTTGGTTGTGTATTGTCCTGCCGATTCCAGAGGAACCGTTTATTCTGGCTGGCCAGTTGGTTATAGTTTTGGCTTGATTCTGCATCTTAGCACTTTTTAAAAACAAAAAAGAAAGAAAGAAAAAATGAGAGTCAAGATGAATTTGCCTTGTGCAAACCTGAACGACCCACAAAAGCACAAACCACTTGTAAATAGAATCTCGTTACAAAGACGGTTATTTAAAAAGCCTTGCTGTTTGGCCTGACTGACTCACTTTTTTGTACTACTCTTTTGTAAGAATAATAAATGTTTCATATTCAAACGGCTACGGAAGCGATCGCTTGTGTGTGTGTGTGCTCTGCTTTAAAAAAAAATGGAAACTTGGGCTGCGGGCATGCTTGGGTGGAAAATTATTTGATAGCTGGTACTCTTAAGCTATGAGAATACTGTGAAGGGAATTCTGGGAGCTGACGTCTACACATGCTGGCTGTGGAATTCTGGGAGTTGAAACCCAATCCTCTTAAAATTGCTCAGCTTGAGAAACACTCGGCTAAGTCTGAGTAGCTGAGCCTTCCTTTGTTAAATAGGATTTGGGGTCACTTTATATCTCCAACGGAAGCAACAAAACCTAGACTTGTATGCTTTTAATAAGTTCTGTTTCTCAGCCTCTGTAATGAACAGAAATCAAGAGGCAAAACATTTTACAACATTATCCTTCCCTGCAATGTGCATTTTGGCTTTTTTAGGGCAGACCTTAAAATTACTTAACCCCGAGAGCTCTTTTAATTGACATGTGCAGTTGGTTACCTTTCTTGAACCCTCAGCCGCTCTTTGGGGGGGGGGGGTTTCAGCTCATTCTTTGGCTATGGAAAAGGGCTGTTGTTTAAATTAGCATCTCTTTCACCTCATTACCAATTGTTTGCTTAGCAAGATTTTGTTTGATCTTTGAGCTAAATTGCTTTGTGTGTTGTTTTTTTTTTTAGTTTAAACAGGAAGCCTAGACAAATTATTTTTAAAAAATACATTTAACTGTTTGTTTTTCTAAAGAGAGAAGCAAGGGAGTGGCAGAATTAAAATTCTTTCTGTGCTCTTCAAATATTTGTCTCTAATCTTTATGACATGATTTATTTGGCTGCTGCTCCATTCTGCTTTTTATTTTATTTGCTTGTAGCTGAAGCATCTCTGGAGTGGTCAACAAAGTCAAGATGGTGGCCATGATAGAACTATTCTATTCTATTCTATTCTATTCTATTCTATTCTATTCCATTCCATTCCATTCCATTCCATTCCATTCCATTCCATTATTTCATTCTGTATTCCATTCCATTCCATTCCATTCCATTCCATTCCATTCCATTCCATTCCATTCTATTCTATTCTATTCTATTCTATTCTATTCTATTCTATTCTATTCCTATTCTATTCTATTCTATTCTATTCTATTCTATTCTATTCTATTCTATTCTATACATGTTAGTGGCTTCAATTATGCAGAAATGTTTTCATCACATGCAACTCTTTTGTGAATGGCTACTATCAATTGGAAATTATCTTTGATTATATCTGCATTTTTGCAATTTCTGCATCCTTTGTTGATAAATGCATTCCCTACTGGTGAGAAAATTCCATGAATTTAATCAATATAAAAAGAAATCCTTTTATTATAATTTTTATAATGCCACCATATTTTAATTTTTTTATTCCTATATTAAGGCAGCTGCTTTCTGCAAACTAAAATTTGTGAGTACGTGTGACCCCCATATCCATCCAGCTGCCTTACAATACAACATAAGCGCTGTGTTGCTGAGTTTGCATGACAGGCTAAGTCACAAAATGCTAACTGTGTGAATGGAAACACTAATCTGATAGTGTTTAGCTATCAGGCTATGCTTAGCAAATTTACAGTACGACAGTATTTACAGTACAACAGAGAAGTATTTACAGTCTTGACGGTCTCCACTGAAATTAAAATGGCTTCATTGTTTAATTGCCATTTGATTTCCAAGCAAAATTTCCCACATGCTAGACCCACTCAGTTGCACATTATACAAACAGTGCAATACAAACATAAAAAACGGTTGTGTGCATTTTTTATGAAGCTGTTCCATCTATCTGCTTGTTCCAACTGAAGAGTGATTTTTCAAGAACAGTTTCTTAACTAGATAATAATCATACATTAGGCTTTGCTACATATATACTTTGCTGATAGTTCTATTCTGTTCTGTTCCGTTCCATTCCATTCCATTCTATTCTTTTCCATTCCATTCCATATTCTATTCTATTCTATTCTATTCTATTCTATTCTATTCTATTCTATTCTATTCTATTCTATTCTATTCTATTCTATTCTATTCTATTCTAAAGGTACGTATAGTCAAGGCCATGGTTGCAATGTATGGCTGTAAAAGTTGGACCATAAGAAAGGCTGAGCGCAAAAGAATGGAGGCCTTTGAACTATGGTGCTGGAGAAGACTCCTGCGAGTGCCCTGGACTGCAAGGCGTTCAAACCGGTCAGTCCTAGAAGAGATCAACCCCGACTGCTCTTTAGAAGGCCAGATCCTGAAGTTGAAACTCAAGTACTTTGGCCACCTAATGAGAAGGAAGGATTCCCTGGAGAAGAGCCTAATGGTGGGAAAGATGGAGGGCAAGAGAAGAAGGGGACGACAGAGAATGAGATAGCTGGATGGAGTCACTGAAGCAGCAGGCGTGAGCTTAAATGGACTCCAGAAGATGGTAGAGGACAGGAAGGCCTGGAGGAACGTTGTCCATGGGATTGCGATGGGTTGGACGCGACTTTGCAACTAACAACAACATTTTCTATTCTATTCTATTCTATTCTATTCTATTCTGTTCTGTTCTGTTCCGTTCCGTTCCGTTCCGTTCCATTCCATTCCATTCCATATTTTCTATTCTATTCTATTCTGACAAGCAAAGTCAAGGGGGGAATCGGATTCACTTAACAACCATGTTACTAACTTAATAACTGCAATGATTCCCTTAACAACTGTGGCAAGAAAGGTTGTAAAACTCACTGAACAAATGTCTCATTTCACAACAGACATTTTGGGCTCAATTGTGGTTGTAAGTTGAGAACTACCTGTAACTTTTAAAGTGTGTCCCTTCAGCATGACAAAGCCTAGTTAAAACATAAAAGTTCTCTTGAGAGCAAGCACATTCTTCTTGAAGAACAGCACAAGGGAGTTTTTCCTTTTTTCAAAGTCTGTTTTCCACCAAGGTGCTAGTCCCTGTGTCAAAGGGATGGGAGGCCAAGTAGTCTCTGTAGTCCCCATCAATTAGTTTCTCTGCATTGTTTTTGGCAAACCAGCAATCCACTTCCTGTTTGCCATTGTAGATCTTTCTCTGCTTCCACACGACGGGCACCAAACGCCCTTTCAACTTTAGGGTGTGCGCCGAGTTCGAGTTCCCAGGCTTCATTTCACGGCAGTTGTCCGGGCTACACTTTTCTGAGAATGGCTCAGTCAACAGCTGAACGTCTTGGTGCAAGAACTGGCCTGCAATAGAGAAAAAAAAATGGAATTTGTGAGCAAGTGAATTAATGAGACAGGAATGGGTCCAGCAATTTCCTCCAACACGGGTGAGTGGCATTTTTTTTTTTTTAGAAAAGTTTAGCCATTGCCGGCAATGGGGTAAGTGTGGCTTCCGAATGACGCGTCTGGCCCACGGGCCAGCAGTTTGACATCCCTGTTCTATTCTATTCTATTCTATTCTATTCTATTCTATGCTATTCTATGCTATGCTATTCTATGCTATGCTATGCTATGCTATGCCATGCCAAGCCATGCCATGCCATGCCATGCCATGCCATGCCATGCCATGCCATGCCATGCCATCCCATGCTATGCTATGCCATGCCATCCCATCCTATTCTATGCTATGCCATGCCATGCCATGCCATGCCATCCCATCCTATGCTATGCCATGCCATGCCATGCCATGCCATCCCATCCTATCCTATCCTATCCTATCCTATCCTATCCTATCCTATCCTATCCTTTCTCTATCCCTATCCCTATTCTATTCTATCCTATCCTATCCTATCCTATCCTATCCTATCCTATCCTATCCTATTCTATCTTATCCTATCCTATCCTATCCTATCCTATCCTATTCTATTCTCAGAATCCAAAGAGAGACACTGTATGTCTCTCTGCACACAACCCTAGAAACCAACACATCTCTCCCTTACCTATCAGCCCATGGGAACTTGTGGAAAGTCCTTGACCGTTAGAGATGTAGAAACCCAAGTGATTCTTCTGATACCGGGCAGGATTCTTGTAGTGGTGGATCAAAATGACAAAACTGATGGAATCTCGTAGGACCACAGTGATGTTGGCGTGGGCCACGATGGACACTTGGAAATTTTTGCCCACTACCATGGCGTTGCGGTCACAGGGAAAGACCAGTCTCTTCTCATCATCCAAGATGACCTTGGTGGGTGAAATTTCTAGGTAGGATCTTTCCGGTTTGTTGCTGAGAATTGTGATGCTCTTGAAGTACGTCCGCTGTTTCTTATGACCGTTCCGTGGGGCGGGTGCCCCGATTAGTTGGCCATTGACAGTCACTCCTAGGGGACAAGAAAAGAGATAAAGAGATAGTTTGTTTTAGTAGTTAAGGCACCGGGCTAGGGAAAAAAAAAAGACCGTGGGTTCAAGTCCTGCCTTAGGCATGAAAGCTGACTGGGTGGCTTTGGGCCAATCCCCAGGAGATGGTGAGTTCTACTTCCGCCTTAGCCATGAAAGTCATCGGGGTGACCATGAGCCAATCAGCAGAAGACTGAGAGTTGTAGTCCCGCCTTAGCCGTGAAAGCCAGCTAGGTGACCATGGGCCATTCACCAGGAGACTGTGAGTTCTAGAACCACCTTAGTCATGCAAGCAAGCTGGATGACTTTGGGCCAGCATCTTTATACATAACCTATTACTATTGTCCCCCCTGTTTGCATGCAGTAAATCTGTAAGGACCCACCCCACTTTGCATCTTAAGAAGACAGAACTCTTGGAATAATTCTTCCAACAGGAATCCTTTATTAAGAAGAAGTGGTTGCAGGCGTGCTAGACAGGACTTGGGGTCCAAGCCCTCCCATTCAAGGTTTTAAGGGGTTCCCCAGTAGTCCCACCCAATCAACCCCCCTTCCAGTGATAGTTTCAGGTATCACAATTCCACCCCCTTTTTTCTTTCTTCCGTCTGGATGGAGACTTCAGATAACTACATGAAAGGCAAATACCCTTCTTTGTTATGGTAAGGTGATTTGGTGCTAACGCTTTGAGGTTACAATAAACACACATTCAGCATTCAGCTCCTTGAAGTATACTGAAGGAAGTGAGGGCCATAAAGCCCCTTTGTTCTCCCCCTTCTCTCCCTCTTATGGCAGAATCCAGAGAAGGCAGAATTGGGAGTTTCTATATTTGATAATTAAAGATGAAATATAATTGGATTCTGACAAAATCTCAGTATGGTACAGAGCTGTATTTTGCTTAAAATGCAAAGAAAAGAGCCACAAATTGTATCATGATGGGGTAGACGGGGACAATCTGTTTCCCATGATGTGGTAAGACAGTGGCTGAGTTCCCACGACCCACTGAATCCCAAACAATGCGCATTAGTTTAGTCTGGCTTGTTATGTGATTCCAACGGATCTTTAGCAATTTCCTATTTTTGATGTGGCAACTGTCGCCTCCTAGAAACAGCGCATTGTTCTTGCCAGAGTTGGACAATAATTGTGAGTATTAAAACCAAGAGCAGAGGAAACGCCATTAATAGTTTGTTTGAAATTGTCCCAAGTTGACTCTAAACCTTGTCCTGTCCCATAAACAGATTTGGAGGTGGAAATTCATCAGTGTTTCCTTTCCATCCATACCCTTCAGGCCAGGCCAAGCTTCCCCCAACTCTGTGGATGGAATAAGTTAATACCCCCACCTTCGTGGTTCCCCTGCCAGTATTCCCATACCTGAGTACTTGTGATCCGAAACTAATCTAAGGATATCTCCGGGTTGCCCATCAATGTTGAAGCAGATCGTCATCTCGCTCCGCGGTAAATCAATGACAAAATGAGGGTCACCGTCCGCTGGAGAGACAATAAAACAAAACAAAACAAAACAAAAAAACAGGAAGGGAAACCTTAATATTCAGCATCTCAATATTCAGCACCTCAATCCATCCACTTTGCAGAGGGGCCTTTCAATTCTTTCATGTGGGTGGCCCTGATCTTGTTTCAGGCCTGGAGATCGACTGTTCAGAAGGGTCTTGAAAGAAAGAAAGAAAGAAAGAAAGAAAGAAAGAAAGAA